TATATCTATATATATATATACATGAAGGTTGATTAGGGCATTGCCCGTTGACCCACGGATTGGTTCTCTTGCGCGTGCGCGTGTGTGTGACATTCTGGAACAAAACGAGACAAAAAGTGAGGGGTGCCAGGAGGGCAAGAGTGCTGGCACCAACGAAGACCGCTCTTGTACCTCTTGATGAGCTATGTGGACGCACAAAGCTACCTGTACATGGAACGACCCGCCCAAACTACCCTTAAACTGTTGTTATTTCAAAGTGGCCGTGGCCGAAAATATCAATTCAACCAAGGCTGTGCGCGCAGCCGCTGATGCAGCTTGAGATGTCGCACAAGACTGCCACTGCAGCAGAATCATTGCAGCACTATCTTGCTAGCCGGACAGTGACATGAAATCTGGATGCAAATTTCACATACCTGCGAACAAACATGCACACATGCAGACATCTTGACACAACAAGCAAGATAACCGGCTCAAGCATGAAATAGTCTAACATGCATCCGGTGATCGGCCGATCAACTTGCAAATCCGAGTCTGCGAGCACGTGTCTGTTTATTTATGTGTATGTGCGCATGTGTGTGCATCTGTGCGTGTGTGTCAGTTTGTGCGTGTATGTGTGTCTGCAGGCAGGGACTGTAGTACTACATGGTGAAGCATGACATTCGTTACTTAGCAGATGTAATACAAACTAGTCGAAGACAATATCCCATCCTACACGACGGTCATAGACCAACAGGTTATGAAGCAAAAGAAAATTGGAAGTTTGGGAAGCCAAAACCAGACATGACAACGGTGGTGGATGCTGGCAAACACGTGTATGTGATATGGAAGCTAGCACCAGCATTCTCGCGAATCTGTGTTCGGATGTCCTCATGTATTGATTGGGGGTGTGCATGTGTGTCTTTGTGTGCTTACATTGGCTCTTCTTGCAACTTTGTTGAAGAAGCCTTGCTGCTTGGAAGGTTGTTGTACAGACATCTACAGCTACAGATGCCATCCATCATGGGTCTGCATGAAGATTCTAAAACCAGCTACAACAGCAAAGCCTAGACGAAACGCTCACACATAGTAAATGAATCAAGACCTCCTTATCTCAATACAAAAGCAGAAACAAGTAATGAAAGTCCACCTAAGCACATGTGTATAGACAGTGCTGAAAATGCGCCTTTGTTTTGTGGTGCTGGGTGGGGAGTGGATCTGCGCATTTCCATGTTTATCTGGATCCTATGAGATACTATAGTTCACCAAAAAAAATTATACTGTTTGGTCTAGGCAGAAGCACTTTTTTACCGATTGCGCGGCGATTGCCAATGAGTGCCTTCGAGAACAGCACAAGGAAGTCCGTCGGAAGCACATCATAATCTAAACGCAGGTGTAAGGACTCAGCATGTTCTCCTGCTTTTCCTACAGGCCTGACATGCCCTGCCGAACGGGAACCCACTGGATGGCAACATGGAACAAGCTGCCGATCCGAAACAACTCTTCTGGCTAGAAGCTGCTTAAAGTGCCGTGGTTCACGCCGCAAGTACGATAGGAAGTCCCACAGGGATGCATCAAATGTCTGGGTTTCTTGCCGTCGGGCTTTGGGAA